CCCCCCCTCCCCTCCCATCTCCCCCACCTCCCACCTCACCTTCAGCGTCGCTGTCTCGAGATGTTTCGACTGCTCGGGGTTGCTCTTGATCACTCCGATGCTTCCCACCTGCTCCTCCTTCAGCCTACTCAAGCACATTGGGGCCTGGTACCTCCCCCTTGCGCCCCTGCGCCTGCATGTACTCCACCACACTCTCGCTGGCATCAGCGTCACCAGTGGGAGAGTAGCCCACAGCAAACATACGCAAAAGACTTTCCCATCCTATCATTGATCGCAATGTCGATGTCATGTGCCGTCTTCCCCTGTTCGCAATCAGAACGTCTCGGTGAACTTGTCCGTGTACAACCATGATCTTGTCCCGCACCCAGCCTCCTGCTACTCGAAGAATGCATGGCATCTTATAGAAGAGAATCACCTGACCGGAAACTATGTCAGGAGGAGGAGAAGAAGAGGCGCAGATGCTCCCAGACATTCATGAGCAGGCCGAAAAGATCGTCCTCCTCCTTAGACAGCTTGATCTCGACGTTTGGCACGATGCCTGCATGTCAATCACCCCATCATCTCTCAGCCCTCGAGCACCTCTAGTCTTCCATCATGTCCATAAATGTACGCAAAAACTCCCTTTCTCTGATATTGTCTGATCCTCCGCCCATTTTCCAGCCCCCATCTCCCGCTCCCCCCCCGTCCCTCCCCTCCAATCTCTGGCTCTGTCCCTCAGTCTCTATCCCTCTTCCACCAGGAGCCTCGGTCGCCCTTCTCCTACTTCTCCCTCTCCCTCTCGTTCCTTCGCTCTCTCCCTTCTCCTCGCCCCACCGCTCCACCCCTCTCGCTTACAAGAATCTGCCATGTCGAGCCTTCGCTTCATGCCCTTTCCGTTACAACATGCAATTTTCAGTTACAATGATTCACACGCCTGACCCGCCTCGGAGTCAGCACTTCGTAAAAGTTGTTTTATCATCAGTATCCCGGTCCGTCACTGCGATGACTCAGTCGGTCGGAGCGGCCCGGTGACCGTCTCGGTACTTCTCCCGCAGGCTTGGACAACCGACGAGACAGTTCGCACGAATGCCCCATGATACTGATCCGCGCCGGATGCTGAGAGTGGACAGCAAGCATGTATTGAATTATACATCACTCCATCTCTGATGAGCCAGCAAGAAGAGCGCTAAATGCGTTGGAACAAGACTCAACACACTTTAATAGAAGGGGTGGGCAACAAGCCAGGCATGTCCGTCATCGGGGTGCATGCCATCGAAGCGGTTGTATTCCTCGTCAGAGGCAGCCGGGGCGCATCCGAACATTCCAGCAATGGCGCAAGGAGCACCTGGCAGAGAGCATGACCATCAGAACACTTCAAGATTGCATGGAGCTTCAACAAGAAAGCGGAAAATCACTCACCGACGGCAAACCCTCCAGGCGCAGTGTCGCCAGCGTGGTGACCAGCGATGTACTCCTCAACGGAGGTCAACTGCAAGTTCACATGTAAGCAAAGAATAATACATGAACTGATTCCAACTCTAACACGATGCTCACACCGATACTTGACTCTACCCATGCACGTCACTTACTCCCTAACTCCACGAAGGCATTCTAATGTTCCGAATATGCCATATACTTCGTAGCTGTGAACAAAAGTTCGTTTCTGTAATATTCAATTGCAACGTTGCAATCTATATGTTTGAACGCTCTCTGCCTGTCGTATTGTATATAACCAACCCTTGCTGGCCCCTCCTGATAACCTCCTGATACGTTCAATACCTCCCATGCATTGCCATGGACTCTATCTCACAACTGCATCGAACTCTTGAGAAATCTTGTTTCAATTCAATTTTGAATAAACGTATCATCTCCTGGATGATCTATCTACCCTCCACCTAGCTTTCCAGGTCGGATGATCGCCGCAGGTAATATCATCGCAACTCATCGACCTTCCAATCCTATGGTGAATGTTCAATTCATCTCTTCTTGACCTACCATTCTTCCACCATCATCGCTTCCTTCGCTTCCCATCCTTCCTATCCCCTGCCATATACTCTTCTTACCATAGGAGCGCGGCGAGGGAGGACGATTCTAGCCAACATGGCGACGAAGGGACGAGTCGAAGAGGCAGGTACCCACCCTGACCTCCTCAAATTCCCCTTGTTGTACCCCCTTCACATACCACCCCCCACCTATTACTACTCATATGAGACGCACCCCTGTCAAGAGTACCCCCACCAGGTTCATATCAGTATAAAGCACCCCTTCTTATTCTGATACCCCTACCCTCAACATCAATAGGGAAACAGCCCCTTCTCGTGATGAAAAAATTGCATGGCCCTCATTCAGCACATCTTTGCTGCTGCACCAGCAGGCTCACCAATTGGGAGGTCAACAAGGGGGGTAGGTGGTATCGATAGGTAGGGTGGGGGGTACGTACACGAGAAGGGGTGGTCGAGTTGCAGACTTTTTGGCGAAGGAAATACCAGGGGTAGTGAACATCGGAGGAGTAGAAAAGTGGGGTCATAGCGATCAGAATAATTTTCATGGGTGGGTAGTTGGATCAAAATGGGGGGTGGTATCTGTAAAATCAGTGGGTGGGGAGGGAGCAAAGTTTTATGATTGTTGCAGGGGTAGGTACGTACGACAGGGTGGGGTAGAACTTGAGGTGTTGGTAGGGTCCATTTCGTAGCGGGAAGGTATGTACACCAGGTAGGGGTGGTACGATAGGTCCTATCGGGAAGGGGTTCTTGACCGAGGAAGAAAGGGTGAGGTCCAGGATAGGGTAGGGTCATGGCATTCATGGCAGAGATGACAAGAGGGGTGGGGTGGGGTGGTGGTATTGCTAATCGCAGGGAGCAGGAAGCGGCCGCCGAGGAAGCGAGCGAGGGAGAGGAGTAGGAAGAGAGGAAAGAGACGAGGAGAGGAGAGTTGTGAAGAGACTCTTCCAGGAACAAAGACGAGCTCATCTGCACAAGACTGAGAGCCCAGGGCTTCAAGGTCTTGCAAGCTTCCTGTCTTTGTAACCAGCGCCTCTGCTTGCAACCGGTCCTTTCCTGTGCACAATGCCGCTCGGACTTCAACATGGAAGAGCGAATTCGTTCGCAGACAAGGACTACCTAATCTTGTCCTCTGACGTCAAGTTCTTGCGCACACTGTTCTTTCAGGCGTTGCGGGCTGAAGAGGCAGACGAGACAGTGTACAGGAAGGCGAACAAGGAGCTGAAGGATAACCTGGAGGGCATCCCCGGAATCCCACAGAGCGTGAAGGAGCTCTTCCAGATCAGTCTCATGTACGAGCAAGATCCGACAGAGAAGAACTTCAAGGCGATGCATCAGAAAGTTCTGCACATGAGTGCTGCGGACATAAAGATTGCTGGCCGACTGTTCCTGGAGATGTTGCAGCATGCCAATCTTGTTGAGAGGAATCATCGAGTGCGCAGGTAGAGTCTGAATTATGAGTGGTATGTTTGATCTAAACTTTGATGTAAGGTGGAGAGAGTACAAGCGTGGCGACAAGACTGTGAAATCCTCCTCTTCCCAGACTTTGCAGGATTGCTTCAAGGAGCTCATGGAGAAAGGCTTCACTCCTGAACAGATCAGAGAGTCTCTGCTTCGACAGAACACAGAACTTGTGTTCACAGCCCATCCCACTCAGGCTGCTCGAAGAAGTGTCTTGACCAAGCATGCAACGATTTCTCAACTTCTTGAGCTCCATGACCGCAGGTAAAACCCCTTAGCAATGCAGTGTTTCAATGATAGGAATCTTCTTGATCTATTCTCTTGTGAATTTCCTTCCTACTTGTTCCAAATCAAAAATCTTGATGGCTTACCATGCTTGCAGCGGGCCAAATGGAACCTCGAAGCTCACGCCGCTCCAGAGGTCTGAGATTCTTGCTGCGTTGCAAGAGTCGTTGCTGGGTATCTGGCGAACCAATCCAGTCAGGAGGCATAAGCCAACTCCTGAAGATGAGGCTAGGTATTGACACACGACTCTGACTTCACATCGAAGCTCTTGACTTGAATGTATCAGTATGGTCTTTCAGTTGTGGAAGAATCCTTGTGGGAGGCTCTTCCCGACCATTACCATGCAGTCGATTATGCATTGAAGAAGATCGGATGCGAACCACTTCCTATTGACTGTTGCCTCTTGACGCTGGGGTCCTGGATGGGAGGAGATCGTGATGGAAATCCGTACGTCACAGCGGTTCTCACCAAGAGAGTCGTTTTCCTCTCCCAGGTTTCGAAGTTGATAAGTTGTTTTAAGGCTCTCTAACGTTGACCTCCAGTGGAGAGCAGCGCACTTGTATTGGACTGAGGTTGATCAACTGTTGTGGGATTTGTCTGTCGCTGGTCCTGGAAACAAGGAGATTCAAGAAGAGGTGCGGCCTGTTGTCGTCAAATCATTTCATGTCATTCTGACGTCAAGTTTGTGCTCAGATTGCTAGGATTAATGGTATCAAGTCAAGCAACGCCAAGGGAACACTCAAAAAGAATCATTCCCTTACCTCCGTGCACAACCTACTGGCCCCTTTTGATTTCTATCGCCCTCAGCTTGAGACCGAGGAAAACTACAGACAGGTTCTCACCCACATTCGTGCCCGTCTTGCCGCCACGGTCCGTCGCGCTACAGCTCTCTCACAGGAGCAGCCTTTCAAGCCTGATCCAATCAATCATCACTACAGCTCAACTTCTGAGCTTGCCACGGATCTTCTCCGTATCTATCGGTCCCTTCACGAATGTGGTGATGGAATCTTGGCAGAGGGACGCTTGAAGGAGCTTCTTTGGCGTGTCCACACTTTTGGATTGTCACTCACTCGCCTGGACATTCGCCAGGAAAGCACAAGGCACGCTGACGCTCTGGATGAAGTCACAAGCTACCTTGGGTTGGGTTCATACAGAACCTGGAGCGAGGAGACGAAAATTCAGTGGTTGACCAACGAGTTGCACTCAAAGCGCCCATTGATTCCTCCTGACCTCCCTTGCTCAGCTCCCGTCAAGGAAGTCATCGATACCTTTAAGATGATAGCAGAGATTGGCTCTGAACCTTTCGGCGCTTATGTGATATCTATGACTACGTCTGCTAGTGACGTTTTGGCTGTTCGATTGCTTCAAAAGGAAGCTGGCATCCAGCAACATCTCAGAGTGGTTCCGTTGTTTGAGACCAAGTTGGATCTGGAGAATGCTCCTGCGTGCATGGAGCTGCTGTTCAAGAACAGCTGGTATCAGGCCAACCTCTCCAGCCCACCACAGGTCCCCAACATCGGGTGGCAGCCGCATCAGGAGGTGATGTTGGGATATTCCGACTCCGCCAAGGATGCTGGTCGTCTGGCATCTGTGTGGGGGCTGCATAAGGCGCAGGAAGCTCTGGTGGAGCTCAGCCACAAGTACAAGATCAAGCTGAATCTCTTCCATGGTAGAGGAGGGTCAGTGGGGAGAGGAGGTGGTCCGCAATACTTGGCCACCTTGTCACAGCCGGCTGGATCTGTTCAAGGCTGGATGCGTGTCACTGTGCAGGGAGAGGTTATTGACCACTACTTTGGTCTTCCATCAATCGCTTCTCACACCATGGAGAGATACACTACTTCGGTGCTTACTGCAACCCTCACCCCTCCTAAGGCTCCTTCAGATGACTTCCGTGAGATCATGCAGCGGCTGTCCGAGACGAGTTGCAACAAGTACAGGTCTCTCGTGTTTGAAGACCCGGAGTTCATCGAGTACTTCCGTACGGCGACACCGGACTTCGAGCTCAAGGGCCTCAACCTGGGATCTCGACCGTCCAAACGCAAGCAGGGAGGAATAGAGTCGCTCCGAGCGATCCCGTGGATGTTTGCATGGACTCAGACTAGGCTGCAGCTGCCGGTTTGGTTGGGAGTTGGAACGGCTCTGAAAGCCGAGATTGACAACGGGAACCTCAAAACTCTTCAAGATATGTATAACGACTGGCCCTTTTTCCGCTCCACGGTCGAGCTGGTGAGGGTTGAGGTGATGGTGAACTGTTGTGATGCATGCTTTTCAGCTTGAGATGGTGTTGGCAAAGACTAGCAAGACCATTGCTGATTACTACGAGTCGCTGCTGGTTCCCGAAGATCTCCAGGTGAATCTCCGATGTCGGTTGCGCCTCCTGACCGTCGGTACCAGAGCGTGAGCTCCAAAGTGTGGGAAGAGTTCGAGAATACGATGAAGAGCATCCTTCAAGTGATCCGGCACGAGCACATGCTCGAGGGCGACAGCTCCTTGAGCAGCAGGCTTGCCATCGCCACCCGCGTCCCTCTCGTCGACCCCATCAACGTCCTGCAGGTCCGACCATCTGCTGGCAGTGCTTAGCATCGTCCCTGACTCTCCAACAGGCGAACGCGCTGGTGAGGATGAGGGCGGACGAAAACCAGCCGGACATTCACGTGCTGCGCGATGCCTTTGCGATCACCGTTCAGGTGCGGGCTAGGACGGCCGTGCCCTCCTATCACTGATGATGACCTGCAGGGAGTTGCGGCAGGAATGGGATGGACAGGATGAGGGAGATGCTGTTGGGTTTCTGATCCCTCTGACTCCCCTTGGTCTGTAATGAAGACGTACCCACATACAATCTCTTTCTTCGGCTCCTTCTCTTGGCTCCTTGCTATCGTCTTCTCTCGTCCTCTCCTCTCTCTCCTCTCTCTCCTCTCCTCTGTCGTCTCGTCTAATCTCGTCGCTGAAGGCTGCCAGCCAAGTTTCCTCACTTTTCACTATCGCATCTCTTTTGGGTTGTCTTTCAAGGGGTAGTGGTCTGTAAAAAGAGGGGGTGGGGTCCCTTATATAACAGCAGATGATGAAGCCAAGTTGATACGAGGAGGAGGAGAGTATGATGGGATGAGGTGGTGGGATGAGAAGCTAGGTTATAGCGATACAAGGTGAGGGGAAGATAAGAACAAATGTTGTTGAAGCTTGATGACAGTTATGCGAGCAGAAGATGAGAAGAGGGAAGTTAAGATGAGGAGCTGAGTTGTATTGGAACAAAGTTGAGGAGTTGATAAGCGTGAAAACGGCTGTTGCAACAGATCCTCTTTGTGATGTAAGGAGGGGAGGGATGCATGGAGGGGAGGAGGTATGCATGGAGGGAGGCGGGAGGGAGGCAGGGAGGCAGGGAGGGAGGCAGGGAGGGAGACAGGGAGACAGGGAGACAAGGAGACAGGGAGACAGGGAGACAGGGAGACAGGGAGACAGGGAGGCAGGGAGACAGGGAGACAGGGAGGCAGGCAGGCAGGCAGGCAGGCAGGCAGGCAGGCAGGGATGTGGCTGTATATTTCGAGTGTCATCATTTGATTTGTTCTGCACATAGAGGTTGAGCCTATCGTCCTGTTTCGATGGACATTCAGATCTCCTGCTCCTCGTTTTACTTCTCCTCCTCCCGCTCATGTGCGATCTTGGCCATCGCATGGCTGACTTGTTGTGCCTCCCCCATCACAGCCTTCTCCCTCCCCACCAGCATGAGCCCGTCGGCGCCTCCTCTCCTGTCCGTGCAGGACTTCAAGAGTGGCCTCCAAGGGCAGAGGGGCCTCGTGCTGGATATCGACGAGACTCTCAGCTGGACTGTTGGGTTCTGGATGGAGAGGATGCAGAAGTTGTTCGGCAACCCGGAGAAGCTCTCAGTCAAGGACATGGCGGACAAGTACCACCTGACACAGAACGTGCCCTACTGGCAGACTGATGAGGCGCATGCCTGGATGCAGGTGAGAAAACTCCTCCCTCCTCCCTCCTCCCTCCTCCCTCCTCCCTCCTCCCTCCTCCCTCCTCCCTCCTCCCTCCTCCCTCCCTCCCTCCTCCCTCACCCCTCCCCCCTCCTCCCTCCTGCTTGCTTCCTCCTCCCCACACCCTCCTCGTCTACAACCTTCCTCTCTCTCTCTCTCTCATCTATCCACATGCTGTTGTCTGAAGTGAATCGCCTTCAGAGCATGCGGGACAAGCCGGAGGCGCAAGAGGAGCTGCCGGTCATTGAGGGGGCGTTGGAGGGCGTGAAGGCGCTGCAGGAGGATGGAGTTGCACTGCTCGGCTACCTCACTGTCCGCCCGCAGTCTGTCGTCTCCTCCACGAGGAAGTGGCTCCTGGCCCAGGGATTTCCTGACCTGCCGATTGTTGCCAAACCAGATGATGTAAGGAGAAAAAGAGGAAGAGAGAAAGAGAAGAGAGAGAGAGAAGAGGGGAGGAGAAGAGGGGAGGATGAGATGAGGGAGAGTCGGAGGGCGAAGGGAGCAGGGGAGAGAAGGGAGTTTTGGGAGAGGGAGGGGTGGAAGGGATGGAGGGTGCAGCGAAAGGGGAAGGGACAACGTCGTTTATACTCTTGCTTCAGGTTTCTTTTAGCAACGGTAACAAATGGAAGGGAGAAGCTCTTCGATTTCTTTACCCTGAGGTTGGAAGAGGAAAGGAGGAGGGAAGGAGGAGAGGAGGAGGAGAGAAGAGGAGGTGAGGGAGAGGAGATAGAGAGGAGGAGAAGAAGGGTCCTCTGACGTTTCTGCTGCTCCAGGTGTGGGGGATCGTCGACGACAACCCCAAGGTTGAAGGAGGAGGAAGCAGCTGGTAGCATCCCTCACCCTTCCCCTGCAGGTGCCCTTGGAGGCAGGAAGCAGCTACGAGGGGACCGTCTTCTTGTTTGCACATGACGCTTGCAAGGAAGGATATGAACATGTTAGATCCACTACCTCCCTCCTCCCCACTTCCCGCGTCTCCTTGCCCGCCCTCTGCTGACTTTCTTCACAGGCGATCCCGTGCAAGACATGGAAGGAGGTAGTGGAGGAAGTGAAGAAGAGGAGAAAGTAGAAGTCAAGAGAATGTAGCAATAACATCTCCTTCGACTCGCTTCTGCTTTTTAACTTGATTGATCTCTCTTGAACCTCAGCAGCTTCGGATATTTCTTTCCCAATGCCTTCTGCAGACATTCGAAGTGATCTGGTCGTTCAGCCAGCAAGAACTGAGCAAATCAAGTTAAAATTACCTTATCCCCTCCTTTCCTCTTCAATCGATGAACCCCCTGCTCTTCCTCCTCTCCTCTCCCCTCCCCTCCTCTCCTCTCCTCTCCTCTCCTCCCCTCCCTTCCCTTCCACAAACCCTCTCCTCACCGCGATGACTTTCCCCAGCGCAGCTTTTTCTGAGTTGATGCGCATGTCGCGCATGAAAGCATTCTGCAAAACACCTGAGGAGGAAGCAGGAGGAAAGAAAAGGGGAAATACGATTTTCTCTTCCGCTTCTGCTACTCGGCTCTCGTCCTCTGCCATCACTTCTACTTCCCCTTCCGATCCGTCAGCAAACAACAGAGATGGAACAGAGGAGAGCAGGAAGAAGAGAGCAGTGAGTAGGGATCTAACCTATGCAGTAGGAGAATTGAGGAGGATAGACAACCTGAGGGGAAGTCACTTACAGAATCTCCCTCCCTCCGTCCCTCCGTCCCTCCGTCCCTCCCTCCCTCCCTCCCTCCCTCCCTCCCTCCGTCCCTCCGTCCCTCCGTCCTCCCTCCTCCCTCCCTCCCTCCCTCCCTCCCTCCCTCCCTCCTCCCTCCCTCCCTCCTTCCCTCCCTCCTCCCTCCTCCCTCCTCCCT